ACCTTCATAGAACTGCAGAAGAAAACTATTCAGTTTGTACTGATCTGGAAGGCAAACTATTATTTTGCATTGTAGATGCAATAAGCTGCATTTAGAATAGATTGAAGATAAAATACCTCTAAAATTCTGTTTGGAGAAAAAAAAAAGGTATTACCTTGTGTCCTTTTCACAAAAGGTCTGTGCTTACCTAGCAAACAAAGGGTATTAAACTTAGAACCCACACAAACAAACATCTCTTCAGAATTCCACACAGAACTACTCATGGTTTAAACTGAAGCCTTTTTTTATTTCATATAGAAGACTGAATACAGGGGAGGAAATGATGACATTTAAAATTGTCATGTGCAAAACATGCTGAGAAACTGGATGGGAATTGTCTGTGTGCTTAATTATCCTTGAACTTTTTTCCTCTGTGTCATAAGGTTAGTTGTTGCTGTATAAATAACTTGATGAATATAACTTATCAGTTTCCCCTTCCCCACCCACAACAGGAACAGAGACGGGGTATTATGGAACAATAATAAAAATGGAACCAGCTTCTGAAAGTACCTGCATGCAGAAAATGGTGGTTAGGAAAACTGATGCTATGACAGACTTCATGGATGACTTAACCCTCAGCTCACCGAAGAAAAGAGAGTCGTCTTTGAGATCCAAGAGAAGTTGTGACAGGTCATCAACAAGGTCATCTAGCAGATCCTCTTGCAGTTCACGGTCCAGTTCAAGCAGTTCCTCTTCAGCTTCCTCCAGGAGTTGGAGCCGGTCCAGATCCAGATCAAGGTCATGGTCTAGAAGAAATGGTTCCCGCAGGTACAGAAGATACTCTCGTTCATATTCCAGAAGCCGGTCGAGATCACGTGGCTACAGGAGATACAGAGGAAGGTACCATGGCAGACACTACAGGAGGTACCACCGCTCTCCTCCGAGGTACAGATCACGCAGTAGGTCCTGGTCTCGTGGAAGATCCTATTACAGAAGGTCCTATTCAAGAAGCAGATCACGTTCAAGAGGCCGACGATATTACGGATTTGGACGAACAGTATATCCTGAGGCTTACAGGAGCTGGAGAAGCAGGTCACGAACAAGATCTCGGAGCTGGTCACCTCTCCATTTGAGTGAAAAAGGTACTTTTTTTTTTTTTTGAGACTTTCATTGCGTGAGAAGCTCAAAACAATTTGTTTATCTTAACCAGTCAAATTCTCATCTGTATACTTTCTTTATGGAGTGTAACTCATAATGGCAATGTGAAAGAAAAACCTCTGGTTATAAAAATGTATTTTTTTTAAAAAAATAGTTCAGAGCATATTCTTTGCACTTCAACTGAAGCTAAATCCCCCAAGTTCTGGTGAAAATTCATCACAATTTATGCTTACATAGGTGCAGTGATAGTAAACCTGCAGTTGATTTAATCATAAGAGAATGACACTTTTTTTTTTTCCTTCTTGTAGACAAGAGGGAACTCCTGGAAATTGCGAAAGCTAATGCTGCAAAAGCTCTGGGAACAGATAACATAGTCTTGCCAGCAAGCTTGAAGATCCTTACTCCTACCAAAGAGGCAAAAAATGAAAAAGAAGAGCACGAAGATCCTGGAGAGTCAGCTGAGGTAAGTATGAACTGGAGTATTCTCAATGAAAAGGTAAACACTTCTTACAACTTATTGTCTGCATGGATGTGTTATCGTTTTTAACTGTGAAGGTTGTGATTATGAATTCAAACCCTTGAACAAAAACTCCAGACTTACCAGAATGCTAAAAACTACGCTAGAAACCACTGTAGATTTTGTGTTAAGCTGAAAGTACTGTGGACTCTTAAGAAGTGGTTGATCCACAGAGTACATGCAGGCTTTCCGGTGATAGGTTGGGAAGGAGAGGTGAATGTAGTTTGTTCTTTTGAGTTGTTCTCCTAATAGGATATTCCGCATTAATGAGACGAGTTCATGTGTTTCTGACCTAAAACAAGGAGTGTCCTGACCAAACCTAGTGAACAGTGTGGTTTTTCTAAAGGTTAAATCTTTCTGCCCTTTTAAACTGTTAAAAGCTTTTCATGTGCAACAAACTGTTTCCCAGAAATTACATACCCAAGCACCCAATGCATTTTACATACTTTATTTCTGTCTTATAGAAATCATGACTATGGTTCCAGACATGATGAAGAAAATCTGTTGGTAATTAAGGGACTTGTGGGCTGTAGCTGCTGTGAATTTAAGGGAGGGAGAAACTTAAGCAGCTTAAACTGAATTTTAGTTTGGCTCTGTTGTTATAGTGTGTTAACCTGATTCATGGTAAATACAAAACTGCAATAACTGTTAGATCGATCAGATACTTGCTATTTCAAATGGAAGTAAATTTACTAAGGGTTTTAGACAAATGGTACAGGCATCCCTTTCATAATATATGCAATATATTCCAGATGTTGAGAGAGTACAGAAGAAGAGGCCTGCATCACTTGCAGATAAGTTTGTTGTCATTATCCAAAGCTCTGCAGAATGGATATTGCAGAACTTAATGCAACTTGCTCTACCGCTACACTTCATTGTATGGCAGTCCATGCTTTGAATCGTTTGAATCCTTTTTAAAACTGTAACTGGGGCATGGACATCAGGTCACGTGTGAATTAGCACAATGACATTGGTAAAAGTACTGAATGCTTTTTGAATTGAGTTCAACATTGATCTGTTTGCATATTCAGTAGCTTACAGCTACTTTTGATGTAAATATCCGAAACAACTCTACCAGAAAGTTCATGCTCTCTAGTAACTGCCTTAACTTGCACAGAATAATGTATCCTCCCACTTACGCTGTGTGTGCTCTTCTCTAGCAACCCAGAAGACTAGTGGAAGACACGACCAAGAGTGGAATGGAGAGAGCAACCATACAGAGAAGCATTTCTTTCAGTCCTAATGTAAGTGTGATTTCCCAAGATGGAAGTCCAGTACTTCATCCCTCATGTGTGAGGCTCTTCCCAGCATTGGCTGCCAAATTAAAGAGCTTAATAATGGCAACAAAATTTAATGGTTTGATAATGACTTTCCTGGAGGAGCTAGACCAGTACTTCAGCAGTACAGCACTGTGAACACACTACAGCAGCGTGTTTAAAATAGATGCTTACCTCAAGGCCTAATGTTGAACAGCTGTACTGTACTATAGACTTGAAAGTGTATGCCAGAACTAGTTTGCACCAGAACTCATTTCAAGTTACACGTTTCAGTAATGCAAACTCAGGAAAAAGCAACTTTTCCTGAATCCTGTGTCAACTGAGTGTCCATAGCTGATACTTAGTAGGCATCAGGTCTCCCATGAGCTGGAAAGAGAACATTTGTCCTATCAGTAGAGATAAACCCCTTGAATTTGACAGGTTGTGGTACATTCCTTGTTCTAGCATTTTTAAAGGAAATTTTTTTTTCCAGAATACAATGGCAAAACCAATACTACAGAAGCCAGCAAGCCACGTTGTTAAAGAACGGGCAATTTCTCCAGGCAGAGAAGATGACAGAAAGGGAAGTCCCTATGGGCAATGGGTTCCCGTTAAGAAGGAGGAGAAGAAAACATTTTTAAACTTCTCACCTAAAAGCACACCATTCCGGGCACGCTAGCATATTTTTCTTGCTGTCTCTGACTGCAGCATTATGCGTATTTCAGTAGTGAGATCTGAAATTCTCTGATCAGATTGAAGACTTGTTAATACTGAGTATTTATTTTGAGCTCTTACTTTCTGGAATCTTAGGTTTCTCTTTCAGATATAGAGCACAGTGATCCAGAAGCCGCAGATGGGAAATCTTGTGTATATTTGTAAATATTTTGTATTGCTTTAATGGATTAGAACTTACAGGTGGGTAACTTTTTCTAAACAATAGTTCAGTAGATGTTATTTTGAACATTTGATTTACATTGTGTAACTGTTTACTTCAAGTAAATAAACTTTAGTTTTGCACTGGCTTCTCAACGTGTCAAGTGTCAGACCTCCGTTCGGTAATGAGTTGACTGTGTCCCATAAGTGGTTATTTCTGGGTTTAACTTTCAGTTACCCTATTGTAAAGTGTGACAAAGTGGGTTTTGTGTCATTCTGAAAGTGAACCTTTACATTGGGCCGGTGCCTGTCTGGGCTGTGCCTCCTCCTGGGTGTCCGGAGTAGCTTCCCCAGGTACCCCTCCGAAGTGGGAAGCTTGTGTTGGATGTATATGTGACTGCCATAGGTGAAGCCATCGCCATTCTCGCTGTCAGAAGTGTTGCACCTGAGCAACTGTCACTTCTGCTGACTTGTAATGCTGAACTTGACTTTATGTGGGCTTCTCTTTTGATTTAGGTTGCTTTAAAAACTGCCTTTAAAGGCAGTAAGCAGCTCGTGAAGTTAGTGGACAAGACTTCACGACAGCAGTAGTGCAGGTTACGCTGCCTGTAACTGCTGAGAGCCCCAGAATTTAGCAGTGTAGTGCACGTAGCTCCGTGGCTTGCCATGACCTCTACTCTACAAAAAGGTGTGCAAGCAAGAAAAGGGGCTGTTGCATGGATTAAACTCAGTTTTTGTAAAAATAAACGGCTAGTAAAAAAACTGAATTTGACTACTCCAGTCTGGAAACTTAAGAAACTAGTAAATAGCCAAGCTGAGGCTGGCAAATGTACTAAGGATTACGTATTTTGCAGCAACTTGTTTGCTGGAGGAGGTTCCTCTTCCTCGCCCTCGTGGTGAGGCAGATAGGCAGTTTTGCTTCCTGGGTCATGGGGCAGCTGTGCTGTACGGGCACTGCCCAGGAAAGAACCCCAAACTCGGGCATTGATGGACTGCTGGGCATAGCTGCTCTTTCACAGAGTTCCTCACGCATTCTTTCCTCTTCCTGCTAAACAAGTGTTTGCAGGGACTTCAGCTACTGCAGAAGGAAGACAAGCTTTATTCTAAATGGAGCGGTAAGAGTTTGTGTTTATTTAGAACATGAAATTGCACAAGCTGGTTACTTCTGCAAGTAAAAGCTATATACAGCTGAAGTTACGCAAATTACTTCTATTACATTAAATATACTATTGATTTTACAAATTACTTAATGAGGTCTACAACATATTTTTTTGATGGAACTTAAAATTGCCTGCAAAATCTCTATACCAAATATGAATAGATGTAGGGCTGTGGTATGCGCTTTGCCTGACGTGACAGGTCAGACAGCTGTTCCTCTCTCCAAGTTCTGTTTAATCTCGGCTGTGTATTTCCCGTAGAACCTCTCTGCCTTCTTATTGAACTTGGCATTCCTCTCGTTAATGTAGTCTATGTCTGCGTCATCATTGTAAGGCCGTCGTCGACTGTATTTTTCACGCTTTTCAATTCTGTAAGGCAAACGGCAGTGCTTGAAGACCTGTAGGTGAATCCTGTGGATCTGATTACAGAAAGCTTCTCTATGTCACACTGTTTTATCTTAGTATTTACTTACTGTTTTTCAAGATCTGCAACCATTCTATCAACCCCTTCCTTAGATGGCACATGAGTTCCGTGGAGAAGACTGTCAGATGTGGGATAAAGCGCTTCACCACTGGACAAGAGTAACAGATGGGCAGCAGTTTACACAACTGTACTGATTGCTTTGACATTTCACTGCTTCTGTCTGATTTTTAATGTAACATGTTGATACTAAAAACAAGTTCACTTAATTATTTCAAGACCCTAGCACATGCCTACAAAAGATACAGAAACCCACTGAAATTCCAAGGCTGGCTGAATGCGGACTTGGCAAGTTCTCATCTGTCAGTCTGTTCTTAAACCATACCAGGCTGCTGAAAAAAACAACCCCAAAACCTACTAACAAGTAATCTCAGGTGTTCACGTATAATCTAATTGACAAAATAGTTCTTCAAACTCCCTAATGCCAAGTTTGAAGAAACGAACCCCATCAGTTACACCACTACCACTCACACCTACTGAGGCAGGGACTGCAGAGTAGATCATCAGGCCGTGCATTTTAAGATTGTGTTAAAATACTAAGATTATCGTGCGTGTGAGAATATGCATGTGCTGAAAGGATTAGTTTAAGTCTTCAGTGTTTGCTAATCGTTAAGAAATGCCACAGACAGTACCAGATGATTGAAATTAAACTCACTACTGCTCTTTCAGCTTCTCATACTGCTCCAGGTCAGGTTTGATCTGCCGGGTTAACCTCTGGTACTGGCGCAGCTGAGCGGCCGCGTAATCTTGGGAAGAAAATTAATTGGTGTCAAGGTTTTTATTTCATGGTTCAGTTTGCAGCTGAAATACTAACAAAGGTGTTCATTCCAAACGCAATTACGTAGTTAAGCTGTTACCTGAAAATCCCAGATCTGGATTCTTCCTCTTCTTTTTCCTTTCCCATCTCTCAGCATCCTCAGCACTGATCTCTAGCAGTTTAACTCGCTCGTAGTCTTCTCCTCTCGCTGCACATTCCTAACGCAGCACAAAGAACACTTCAGTTTTAACAATAAGGTGGTGGCCAAGCATCAAACTTAAGTTATTACTACCTAGATCAGTGCAGTCAACCTTCAGTGCAAGACAATAATGTAGATAATCAGGAGTCTAATTAGGAGATGGGATTTTTTTGGGGTAATGTCTGTATAAGCTCCCAAGACTGTCTAGCTACCATGAAGGGAGGCTCAGCGTGACTGCAGGCGCTTGGACTGCAGCTCTGCAGGGTTACGGAAAGCTGCAATTGTGTGTTCACCTTCTTCTTTTCCTCCACCTTCCGCTCCCACTCCAGCCGAGCTTTCTTGGCTTCCCAGTTTGCTGGCAATTTAAGCCTTTTATCTTCTTCGTCCACTTCTTGGCGATTCAGCTTGCGAGCCTCGTTCTAGGAACAAAACAGTTTGTGACGCATGGCAACGCTCGAGCACCGAAACAACAAAACCAGAACCCCTGCGGGTCTCAGGAGCCTGTCCTGAGACGGGGCCAGGCTGCTGGTTCCTGATCGCACCACATAAACCGCTGCATTTGGCAAAGGGCTAAAGAAACCATCACCCGGACGGGGCTCAGACAGGGTGGGGAATCGCTGACGCGACAGGAGCGGCGAACCCGCGGCACAACCTCCCCGGGACCACTAGG